ATTTTAAATTTCGCAATAAACCGGTTTCTAGCCACAGTGCAGTGTCGTGTGATATATTGTACGTGACAGCAGGTTGGCTAAGTCTAGCCACAGAGAATGGACATATAAATGTGCCCAGCTAACTGTACAAATTCAGTCAGGCTTGTTTTTTTCGGGGGGTCTAAATATTTCACCGTTCTGAAAACAAATTCGCAAAAGCAATTTTGGCTGAGAGATCCGTGGTCTCCTAAAGATGTTTTCAAAAATGAACCTGATATGTAAACTTCATTTCTACGCAAGTAAAATATCTTCAACATTACATGAACATGATATACACCGCCATTGGTGCTAAGCAATGTGACCACCGTTACTGTATGAAGCCATCGTTCCGTGACGGTCGCTGGGTACAAACCCTAAGACAGTGCTTTCCTTCATTGTGAAAGCCATCGAGAATGTCCAATAAAAGTCACTGGATTTATTAAAATAATCATGCATTTATGGATTAACTAATATTGATGTTCAAATATTTATCATTTAGTTGCATTTTCATGAAAATCAAAATGACCATCTTCTGAAAAGGATTACATTCGTTCGGAACAGTATGTGGGTTTCATTTGTGTGCTGTCTCCGCACAGAGGCGTAATTGAGTTATCTGTTTACAAGTGTACATCATGTGAAAAATCACACACAACGAATTATGTTTTTTAGTAGGTTAATTACGCTGAATTAACTTCTCCTCGTTTATCGTTTATTTTGTAGTTTTAATATAATTGTTCACATGTGGATTTTCAGTGTTTGCTAACGTCAATAGAATAAGATTATCTTTATTTTTTATAACGCATACAAAATGGAGATGTTAATCTTATGATCGAAGGCACATATGATGCTTTTCATTAGCGCGCATGTATCATTACACCGTTGACATATAACACCGTTGGCTATGTCTGATTTAATATTCTGATGTATTCCAGCACCTGTTGGGCGTTCATCTGACAGAAAAAAATGGAGATTGTTTCTGCCCGCGTCAGAGCAATTTTCTGCGGTTCTAGTAAAAGGATGCTGTATCAATTCTGAACTTAACAAAGACTGTCTGTGTAAGCCCCAAAATACTAAATTGCAAAAACTGCTGCGTTAGCTCAACGCGTGATATCTTATAGACCTCTATCATGGGGCAGCCATCTTACTTTTCTGTCATTCAGAGCTATGTAAACAAACTGAGGCATAAAGGAAAAATTATCTGTTCCCTTTTATGAATATGTGAAATTGTATTACATGCCCTTTTGCCAGTGCGACTACATAGAACAAGATAAACATGGAAACATCATGATAAAGATACATAAACTCATGTTAATATGGCCAAGATAGGAAGAAAGATATCACAGAAATATGATACTGCTTCAGCACTCCGGTTTCGACACTCCAGAGTTAAAATAACTCTGCAAAGTGGTAATACATATTATGAAGGCTTTAAATTTCAAGGCGTATCATCAAATAACGACGGCAGAACAATTTTTGAAGCGTATTCAGGCCTTGGACAAGATTTTGACTGTATTGAACGGGGGTTATAAAGTAAAGCAATAAGACACAACCTTGGTGTCACTCATATCAAACACGATTTGAATATCATAGAACTGAAATCATCGTGTAAATGTAACTTGCCACGATAAAATTTCGATAAAAAATATGGCCGCTTATGGGTCCTGTGTACGGTTCACCTCAATTTTACCCCTTCGTCAACACACCGGCCGCCGCCCCTATGCTGAATTCACCACTCAGGGTTCGAGGATAGAGTTCATTCAATTATTGTAAACAATTGTAAACAAGAAGTATCATCGCCACACTTTCCTTAAATATAAAAGATGTGCCAAACAAAACATTTCAGAGAACTCAATGGCTTGCGCATCCCCAACTTAAAGATCGATCATCGATAAAAACTATTAAACAGTCGATTATCGATTTCTCGGTAGAAAATATGAAGCCAGATGTGCAGAGCGACCGTCATTTCTGAGGGACAGATGGCGCACATTTCTAAGAAAATAATTCGGTAACAACATGCAGGCGATGTGCACTTTATATTGCTTGCTTGGATATTGCCTCTTGGGGGATAATCATACCAAATTGCCTGAGCAAATTGATGGGGAAAATAATCCCGATGCGATAACTCCCTGTTCGTGATATGATGTGTTTAAAGGGTGGGGAACAATTCTCGGTCATAATACGAGATCCAGTGAGCAGCAAAGATCAGATCGGCGCATTGTACATCACCAGATTATATACGCTGAGCTCTAATAGAAGAAAAAAACTGGTTTCCCTAGTTGACGAGCTCACCTGCAGAAAATGTAGATGCCATTCAGTGTGATGAAATACGCACACATTGCCAATAACAGATGCCCCAAAACTATCAGTGTGATATTATCTTATAAGTCTCTGAAGGATAGTGGTTTAATACGCGTTGTAACCCACGAGACAATAATCAAAGGACAGTTTCTTTGGAGCTGAGCATTAAAGAGCACCTCTGAAGAAAACAAGTTTTTTTCTGATTTTATCTGTTCAAATAAATATGGAAGCATCCAAATCGAATGCAGTGTCATTTGTCTTAAGAGCTCAACTATAACAAGCTTAAAAGGGCTTTTTTTCTGTTTATGCATGCTAAACAATACCTAAATGCATTATTTGGCAAGTATGGGGTTTATCCACTACGGACACAGGGCGCGGGTTCCCCTGTTTTCTCCGAATGACGCAATCTGCATTGAGAATTCTTATCTTGGCATGAATTGAAAAAGCACTTTTAAGCTTGTGATAGTTGAGCTCTGAAGACAAATGCGTTCGATTGGATGCTTCCATATTTATGTCAACAGATAAAATCTGAGAAAACACATTTGCCTTAGAGGTGCTCCTTAAAAACTCATGCCCTGCGAATTTCCGGCTAAAAATACTGCGTTATTTCAGCTCGATGGTTACTTATCTATGAAGTTAAAGGCTGACCATGTTACATCTTGTCCAGGAATTACTTTGGAAAAATGCGTTGACCATAATCAACTGCTTCAATCCAATTTGTAATTGGGTGTCGAATTGCTGCATGAGTGCTATTTTTATTTCGTCGTTACATTCGATATTCATCGATCTTGAACTTTGATTGTCGATTTTCAAGCTATATCTTTATTTATTTCAGCTCGATGGTTAAGTATCGATTGAAGTTTAAACGCCGACCATGTTACATATTGTTTAGGAATTACATTAGAAAAACGCGTTGACCATAATCAGCTGCTTCGATCCAATTTGTGATGCTATAAATTGTTTGGTACGCCATCTGTTCAATTTAATTTGCTGATTTCCCTCCACAAGAAGTCAAATCGTGTCGATTTCCTGATGACATATCACTCGCCCCTGACAAGACATTCAGCAATCCCCTTTCATGTCAATCGAGCACGCTGCCACTGACACGTATGCAAGGTAACGCTCCAGTGCTTCGGTCATAATACCAGCAGCTTGCTATAGAGTTTTCGGCTCGCTTGCATTTGAATTATCTCGATTCTCTGCACAACCCGAGGATTAAGAAGGGGCTTATATTTAATTATTTCCGGGGCCCTGTTATGACGACGGTGAGCTGAGGAAGTGGCGCGTGTAAACAAGGCATCGTGGGATCCAACCTGCACGTACATTCGGACCTGAAGCGACAGCAAACTTCGAAATTTCATTTGCAAACATCGCAAACACAAAGTTTCAGTGCAGTTCCTGATACTCTTACTTCGAATTTGCGTGAAACATGACCTGACCTTGAATCGTCGTGCTTAAAAAATGTTAGCAAAAGATGCATACTGTGCGGAACAAATTACCTCTCAGACTGTAAGGAACAAGACCCACGGCTGCTTCCTGTGGCTGCGAGATTTGCATTGTTACAAATACTTTTCAAAAGCATTATCCAAATTTTAATAAATGCAGATCTTTAACCGTAGCGATAATGAGATAAGTTTGCTTGAGGAATCAGTGAATGAATCGAGGATTATTCAGATTTTATCATCCAAGCGCGCATCGTTCTATGCTTTCCGCTGTTGGTCTAATAAAGAAAGCTTACATCCCACGCATGGACCACCCATTTACTACTTCTACTACAACACTCCTGACAGGTCGACTGGAAACACACAGTAAAGGGTATCTGTTGTTTGATATACAGCGCTGACATTCAAGGAGGACTAGTTGACATTAGAAATAGGGGGTTGATTTACACCTCGTAAGCATGTTTCCCGGAAGGCTGGTTGGGCGCTTACGTGCATGGGAGATTTACAACCTGTCATAATTGTTTTCCTGATATCCGCCTTCCTGAATTTCATCTTTTCATTTCTATGTGCCAGTTACATATGCAGGTAGTGGGCCTCTGTGAGGTTTGAGTACTTTCCCTCATTGATCTCTTTAAAATCGAGATCAACGCTTTCCTCCTTGCAACCTTCGCTTTGCCTCCATTCTGCACTGATTGCTATAACGCACTGAGAAATAACTGTGATAAAATAAACAGGATAGTTTTACACCTTGCTTAACTTTGCGAATTTAGTTTGAAGAAGGGGTTTGAAGGGGATACAATTAAGTACGTAAAGTACAGACACTATCCTTTTGACAAAATATGCAGAAAACTTTTGTTGAAAATTGTTATAAACATCCTGGGTCGCTGCTTTCCTTCACATCATAATGCTCTGACCGATGCATTTTCTCGAGTAAATTACAAAAATTTATTGCATCTCAGACGTTTTAAACTGCATAATCTGAGCAAAGTCCTCGGCACACCTACACAAATATATGACACACCATCTAGAGCGGCCTGTTGAAAAGCCAAAACCATCATCCGCTGCCCTTGCCTTTTTAAATTGGACCTGGCGCCAGTCTAACGGATGCTGCAAAGAAAATGCGCGGGATTCGAAACGTCGGAAACTGCACGCGCCAGAATTACAGATCCCTCGCGTGCATGCGCATAAATAAGAAAACCTGGGAAATAAGGCTACGTGGTTTTTAAGATTGGTGGAGCAAGCATGAATCCGTAGCGTAATGTATACCTCAGTGATTGAGAACCAAAAACTCAGTGCTCATCAAATTAAAAACACGAGGTTAACCAGTCTAGTTCTGTTGTCAGATGAGGGCGCCCTGTGGTCACGGATTAACAAGGCGGAATGGCGACTCCTCTGTTTGTTCGGTAAATATCACATTTTCCTTGCTTTCGTGTATAGATTAGAGTTACTGGTTAAAAGTTATCATTCATGAGTAGTAATGATTACTTCATCAGCTCTTTATATCATTAGTCCCTGTGAATCCGAGAGGCACGAGTAATTAGAAGGCGCGATGATGTATGTAGTGTTAGTCCGCGTGTCGCACCGAGACTAGGCTGTGCAAACAACGAGACGGTGCTTGCCGCCAGTGGTCCAATTCACTCCATACGGGTCCGAATTCCTCGTAAGGGTGACGCTGAGCCTGCCGGGGGTTTGTCCCTGTACTACAAAGTACTACAAAGGTAGGACACTTCAAATCCGGGTCACACATGTGACTGATTTAATGCATGAACAACGAGTGAAATATGGCGGCGCCCACGCACAGAAATGACTAATCGATCCGTTGGTCACATGACCACCTATCCTCAAACCACCGATACATGAAAATGACGGGCCGTACCAATTCGCACTACATGTATATCGACAAATGCTGTTACGTGCCAGTATGCACGTAAGACCATGCTTTTTCGTTTTAGCGTTGCACATTATGGCCGAGTTCGGGCGGTTTGTTCCCGTATGTTCACGAACAGCTCGATTTGTTGTTCGTGGGTCGGCCGCTCGAACGCCAGGAACAAACAACCGGTTATCGCTGGTATTAGTGACAAGCAACATGCAACATGGCGGCGTCCATGTAGGCTACGTTATTCGAGAGTTAATGTTTGGATGGGCTGTATTCTTTTCTGTATAAACAGGAACATTCATTTCTGTGTTACGGAAAATAATTAATGTTAACTTTGCAAAACTTCCCATTGTCTATGGCTTTGGAAGCCATCTCTCTACTTTTTGCAGCTGTTTAAAAATCAAAATCTCACGAGTTTTTCCGTGTGTTCCTGTAAAACCCTGACGAGGAGGTAGTGTATGATCCTGTTCCGAGAACAGAGTTCTTGAGTCGTGTTCCCGCCGTTCGAACGCGAAAACAAGAGACAGGCCGCCCGAACCCGACCCAAGTGTGCAAAGGGTCGTATGTTTTATTCAATAATGCAGATCGCGCTGTATAGATGACGTAACCACTTAAGAGAGTGAACGGTTAACTTTAAAATATAGGACGTCATATGACTTGTTTGTGCGGTGGTAGGACTGAAGACAAGTCCACCTTTGCCTTGACAACGTCATGCATTGTTGTGGCGTTCATACTATCACTGGACATAATTCAGAAATGTTACTCAGTTTCTTCTGTTTGAACTATTATGAACTCTCAATCTGGTGTCATTCATAATCTTTGCAATGCTGCAAAAATGTGTCTTATTAATTTACGAATGAAACATTTGTAGACTGTTTTCTCGTGCCGACCTTAGGCCCAGTTTTGTAAGCTTACGCGACCTACTTTGCCGTGGCGTTCATGATAAGCTGCATATTTCTGGCTAGAGTAAATTTTGCCCAGACTTAAGTTTCATTTTCGCTCTAAACTTTCGAAATTTTATGCAGTTTATCCATCGGAACAATTTTGTCCTGTCCTAATACGGTTCAGAAGACAAGTGAATTCAGTTTGGGTTTCAGCTTTGATCAGAATTCATCATTTTGAGTAAGTTCGCCACATTGTCGAGGACGTTCTGTGAAAAGTTTCACCCATGTGAGTTGTCCATGTGTATTTTCTTGACGTCTGTTTTATGAACTTTTTCAGTCTTGTGTATTTCTGGCGCAGATTGACTCTGTATGGAAACAGAGCAAGGTGATGGTTATACCGAGACCTATATCACAATGGTTTTACCGTCAGTCATATTGTGAATGCATTATTATCTCTTGGCACTTCATCATCAATCCGTTGCATTACCAATCCTAATTACTTCATTCCATCATTATATTTGTATCTTTACTGTAGGCCTTTGTGTCTGCATAAAATACTCGTTCCTTGAGCAGTTTTCACTTTGTCAACACTCGAGCTTTCGCAATTAGAAATAAATCATTCCAATCTATCTTGAGAATAATTCTTGGAGTTGTTTCTTACTTAATTTTGGAAGTTCCTTCATTTTTCTTTTTCAATTGGCAAAGAGATTTATCATGGAACTCAGGAGGCATACCCACAGTCCGTAGGGACACACCACCCTTCCCGTGATATTAGTGCCGGTCTCTTGTTCATGAAGTACAAAAATTACCACAACGGAGAGAATACAAAATGTACTTGTCGGTTGGGATCTCAAAAATTATTTTCCTATATGTCGGGTGGGTTCCTTGGTAGACTGAATCTTTGAGATAGGCGTCGCTTAGGACCTTTACATTTCAACTGCAAAGAGAAGTTGTTACCCAGATGCCAACAAAAAGGAGAGTTGTTGTTCCCACTCTTATTGAAGTACTGTCGGCACATCTTGAGATGTTCTCCTCATTGTTATAGCTGCACCCCTACGATGAGGTACGATGTTGGAGTAGGAGGGAAAGGTTTGTAGGAGGAGCTTGATACAAAAACACTGAGAATGCTGCTCTGACTAGAGCCCACAACCTCTCCGACAGAAAGAATGGCAAAAACACGTTGAGGGTGCCATCTTATGGTTGCCACAATGGATGAATTTGACAACTGCAACTTCTCCGTCAAAAAAAAAATCAAACGGTGAATTACCCATCATGCCAGTTTATTGCTTCAATAAAGCGGCGATTCTGGGGATGGCAGAACATCAAGATGGATACAGGAAGCGTCGGACAGGGAATAACAACCAGCGGTCGTGCACGGTGCACCGATCGCGCTGCTTCTCATTTTGCCTCTAGATGGCTAGTCTGTCAGTCACCCCTGACTAATTAACGGCGCTCTATCCAGGAAAGTGACAACCCAGGGTTGGGGATACATCGGTACCCCTGCCACACCTGACGAAAGGGGATGGCTATTTGTTGATACAGCCACACTCTACGGCGTTGAGAAACCCCAAAAATGTGTGTTTTCAAGTTACTTCGAATTCAAGTTCCAATCATCAGAGGGCGCAAAGGAGTAATGTGTAGTTTGAGGTGAAGAGGGGTTTGTAAAATCTGTATTCATTAGGCCACAATAAATAAATTATTGGTGAGCGTCCTTTTTTTCTAATCCTTGGGCGGAAGGCATTTTTGTGTGTGTTCAGTTCAACATACATCTTTGCTGGACTGGAACATGTTAAATAAAGAGCAGTTTCCTCAATGAAATGAGTTTTATTTATCTTCTTTACGAAAAGGTTTTACACAAGCAAGTCATTCATCACAAAGGGAGATAGGGGTTGTACAGCTAAGCCAAAATAGGAGGGTTTTCTCAGAGAGGGTCACGGTGCTGTAGCTCACTGAAGTGGAACCTGTATCTGGGAATGGTCACCGCTTTTGAGTATTGACCCATGCAGCATAGAGGCTGCATCCGAATGACTGACTTTGGCTAGGCTGCGACCGCAAAGCTATTGTGGTTGCCGCTTCACCGGCTGCTCCATTTTCCATATATTTATGCACGCTGCCGCAACCGCAGCCAGTAATTCGTATGCAGCTTACACAAACACGCTAACGGTTTGATGAATCTCAACCTCGTTCCCATGGGCTAGATCTTGCCGCGTCATGGAGTCAAGGTTGGGTGCATCTGCACTCGTACGTGTAGACATTCGGGAGTAAGCAGCGATTTCCGGAAGTATCGTTTCCCAAGCGCGTAACAGAAGGTCGTTAAATTTGAATGTGGGATCATCCAAAAGACCGTGTTTCAGTCTATAAGAAATATTTAAAGGGGGCGGGTGTATTTCTTTGGGGCAGGCGGGGACGATCACCAACTGTGTTTTTTTTTTACATGGCCTTATTCTGTCGAACTCTAAAATGACGTGTTTGTACCGTCCAGTCCTCTTTCCCTGCTTCCCTTGCCAACCCTCATCCTCCTCGCCTTGGGTCGCATCAGAGCCAGATTCTCAACCAATGAAGATGTCTGCCCGCCATATATACCCCCATCATCATGCGCAGGTGTGTTACCTACTGGAGTAGGGACGATCGCCCACGCCTGACTGCAGTCATGGGATGGATGTAGCCTGACATGAACTTACGGTAGAACTGGTTTGGTTTATCTGACAAAGTTTTGTTCAGGGACACTGTAATTACAACTGTGGCGTGAGCGTAAGCAGGGAATCCTTAGTCTAAAAGTTGCCTACAAATTCTGTGCTACTAAGCCGCCAACATTCCAATTCGAGTTTTCCTCGGAAATGTCTTTTAAAGTGTTAGTAATGACCTACTTCGCTTGAGGTACCAGCTTGTCATGCTAAGTAGCTGGTGTCGTTATGCTTGCTAATAAAGCAAAATGTTGTTATCGCTGTAGTTTGAAAATGGCAGCAGACGTGTTTGGTACTCAGGGTGTGTAATAACGAGGATGTGTCTTGCCCAACCAAGCGAGAGAAATTCCCGTGTTTGATCCACGTACGGTACATTCGCGGGGAGGCGTCATCGTTCACAGCCGGTCGTCCGGAGCAGGTCGTGGCCGGCAGGTCTGCGCGAGGCTTGTCACGGTAGGGCTCGAAGACGGGTGTCATGAAGGATCCCACTCTTTTGTGGTGACAAATGAAAACTGCTGTCGGGCAATTCGGGCGCTCTTAAAACAACAGCTCTTGCAAAACAAAGTAGCACTTGGAAAACTGATCTTTCCTCTGGATTGTAACTGACGGGCTTCATGTCGGCCATAACAGCCTGTTTCCGCGGAAGCCAGCGCAAAAGGCTTCAGAGGACGAGCGGGCACGTAGCACTTAGAATATAACAATGCAATTTGTCGTGCAAGAGTTAGAGTCTCTGTTTTTGTTTAATTCAGACTTTAATTTTACAAATACAGCTATTATGCGTAACTCAGTTTTCCTTAAAACGAAAACCTACTGACGGATGTTGTCAATGTTAATAGACCTTGCCTACTGTTAAAACGTGCAAGTTTATAACCTGCTTCGTAAGCAATTTGTCATAGATTTAGGAACAGGTTCTGCATCTGATATGATCCAAAGGCATTATGGCGTTTCAGTGAAGTTAATCGTTGCAGGATCCGATGCACCTGTGGTGAAGCAAGACAAACTCCGAATGACACCTACCCGAAATTAAGCTCCCTCATTGGCACACGGTGGGACTACTTTCTTCCGCGGGGACTAGTATTGACGTCATACGCGAGCCTGAGACGTGAAGGCAATGTCAACAGCTCGTCCAAACCGGACCACCGCCTCATGAATCAGCTTTAGAAAGGTCAAATGAGTTACAGTGCCCTGCACCATGTGACGTAAGCCATTTAACCGACGTGCCCGAAGGAGTTGTGTCATTATCTGTCATGTACTCTCGCCCCCTCGTGAATCATTGAAATTCAGTCAAAGGGCGATTTGAAGAAAATTTAGTACCAAAATTTAGTGCGGCTGTTGGATGGTGAAACTTCTGGTCTTAAATGATCCGTGCCTGGATGGTTGCGGGCGCTGTAGGACATGTATTCACTTGACAATAAAAATGGCTTAAATTCTCTGTACGTATCACCCGGTCCACCTTTTCCAACTACACCGACTCCGTACTAGATATTGCGTCGGCTGATGTCGACAACAATTACGGGAGATATAAAGTCAGCTGTAAAGAAATGGCCTGGTCTGGACACCACGCCAGCAAGTAATTGATGACTGCAATTGGAGACCAAGACAGCTTGAAGGCCGGCGTACGCACCCCCCCCTGATCCATTAATATTTCCGAGCCGTCACGAGTTTCTTCGATACTGCCTTCAAGCCGGTTCCATACTGGCGTACGGATGAGTGTTTGCTCGCTCATCTTCTGCTTTAACAGTGTGGTGACGTTTGGGGATGGTAAATCTTGTTTGCCGATCCGGCCTGGCCACTAGACCACAAAGAGTGCTCTCTGCTCGTAGCGTGGACCACAGGAGCCAATCAAAGCACAGGGAGTAAATCCTGAGTGGGTTCAGAAAAGATCTCAGGTGGTAAGAAAAAGAGACTGCGATGATGGACTACACGGAATGGTCTCTAAAATAGGCCGACCCGTCTACCCTTGGCCTGTGAAAATAATGATCATGAGAGTGAACATCATGGCTAGGGCTCTTATCTGCGTAATTGATTGGATCCATCTTGCATTTTATATCATTTGTTGCAATCCAATAATTCACAATCAGCTTGGGCCAAGTGGCACATTTCTATATGTAGGATTCTTAGTCAATATTTAATCTCAACCGGTACTTGAGAATGTTCCACGGCATGCATTCTTTTATTGTATATAGCCAATTAACAGCTTCTTGAAAAACATAACATTTTGAATATATAGTTTCCAAAAAGTGATTTACTCGTGAACCGATCATGCTTTTACTGTTGGGACTCGTGTATTAATACCGTCATGTCTTGTTTCAACACGCTTCGTCCCGTTCAGTCTTGCAGTTGAATAGTCGTGATGTTCTGTGCACCGTAACCAAGTTAACACAGGAGTTAAGTCGGCGCACACCACAGGATGGGAGGCGTCAAGCGAGACTCCTCCTCATATACAAGATTACCATGAACCTATTTGACATTCCCCAGTGATCGCTCCCTATTAAAAATAAGCAACATAGGTCTACAGTGCCCGTCTTGACATCCGCAAATTGTCATATTTTTCCAAAACACCGTGTAGAATGACTCGTTAAATCAACGCACCATCAATTTTGAGCAGTCTGAAGAGCAGCTTTATCCACAATATCCATACATGTCAGCACAGACCTGATGTGTGCATGTTTTCTGCTGATTGACTTGAACCTGAAAATGTACTTGTTCTCCAGAGTATAATCCAAGGCCCTTGGGGCGTAGGCGATCCAAGATCGTATTGTCCCATGTTGGTTGTAGTAGTGAGATCCTGTTTTGGGTTCGATTGTGAGCAAGGTATTCGGAGTAATTCCGTTTCTTCCCCAGCTAGCTCTTGCCCAGTTTCAGTTCTGTTCCCAGTTATTATCATTTTAGATTGTGGATTTGCTTTCAGCCATGTATAATTGATGGAAAATTATATTATGATGTTGAAAACTTGTATCATAAAAACATTTTATTTCAGCAGTTTAGGTGGGGCATTTCGATAATCAAAGTACTGTGTGACATACACTAGTAGGTCCCAAAGAAAGCAAGAAGGGACAATCTTACTGCGAGAACTCTGTAGCGTAAAAATTGCACATTTTTTGCATAAAAATTGCATTGAGCGATTGATTACTCTCCGCCTAAGTGCGTGGGCAAAAATACCCGGATGTGCTTCTTTCCGCTATTCACTGCAGTTCCTTACTGTTCCCCGATGCAAATCTGTCTTATTTTGCGAATATGCCTATAAATGGAGTAGTATTTTGTTATTGATGTCATTTTTTTCATTAGTTATCGTCTAAAGCTTGATCGCTGCTGTTCGTGAGGTGTTAAAAAATTTCCCACGTTTATATGAAGCTTTTAAAGTACTTTTTCGACGAGTTTCCTGGCAGTCTTAAGAGTTTGCAAAGACACGCGAAGACATATATTTCATTACCTTCTGTCACGTGAAATGACGTTGAAATTCCTCATTATCGCCGACTGCAAAAGTACAGTGTCCGTGAACTCCATTCAGTGCATCATAAATCAAAACGTATGAATAATGTTCCACAGAATCGTTAACCTCTGACAAAAACGTCCCTGGTATACCAGTTAATGTCATTTTAAGCAACCGCAGATGCATACCTGCTGTTCTTTTAAACAGCAAGCCCAGACTTTAATTAGTCACTAGTCTACCGGCTGCTGTCATAAATCCTTCCAGGCAGTCGTTTACGAACAGTACTTGTGACAGTAAGACTGTCTTTTTGCTCTTCGTGTCGTATATTTCAACCTCTGCCGTAGCGCCAGTAGGGAAGAACTCTTTTGAGAGGGAGGGAATTATAGGTGTCAGGTATAGGCGGTGGTATGTCCATTGTTACATCTTTGAACTACGTTCAGTTTTATACCTTGCCCAGATTGTGTGTACCTTTGCTGGTTTAAAGGGTTCCCTGCTGAAATTTTACATAGAAATCTCTCTAAACATGAAGGCGCCTTCAGCGTCTTCACCTAATTGAAATCTCAACCATACATTATGTACTTGTTTTGACTCAACGCGCTCGTTTTGTCCCTAGGATGAAAGACAAATCGCATTGGTTTTTATAGATTCCTCCTTGTGAAAAGTTAGTGTACCGATTCTGACCAACAAAATTACACCACTTTGAAGTCTTTTTTCACTATCACTGGCATAATTAGTTGTAACAGTAAGAAATTCATATTTAAAAAATCCCATGATTCTATTTGAAAGCCGTGGCAATCAACTGCACGAATAATCATTGCACTTGGAAGGAACCGAACGTGCACTTATCTGAACTTTCCGAATCGTTCTGGCAAAAATATCGGTACGTAGTCCGTATCGATGTACTATTAAGGTTCACACTCTTTGAAAAAAGTATGGATTGATTTTACGAACGATGATCAAAATGTAAACTATATACATGTACTTGCACACTTGAAAAAAAGTCCCTCTAAAAAGGCTGTCATAATTCAATCGACCAACGAGATCGTTTTTATACATTTTTTTGTTTAAAAAATAGGCCAGCATTTTAAATCTGACTTTTTCTATCGTGTAAATCCCTTCCCAAAGATACAGATACACATGACTGTATGGGTATACAACGGATATGGTTACATATGACGGACAAATGTTTACACTCTTCCTTTGGTCCTTTGACCAAAGTAGTGCTATAAACACTCCCGCTTATGCTAAACATAAAGTAAACAAATGAAATTACGTGAAGGACCAAAAGTGAATGGTAAACTTACATGACTACGTAAGCAATGACGCAAATCTGCACTACTCTATTGATGAGGCCCACTTTCTTGCTCTTAATCTGCACCATCTTGGGCGTGTCGTAGTCGAAGAACTGGTCCGACATCATACCCATGTAGCTACCGATCCGTGCGCCAAAGTTCCCCAGCCGTTTCCCCATCTTGCTAGAACTCTTGGAGAGATCGCTTACACTGGACGAGTTGGAACAATTTTCCATAAAAGGAGCCCACTGCAGTTTTTTTGCACAATGCAATGGCAGAAAAAGCGCCCACATATATTTCAATGAAATATTATTATACGCACGCGTTGTTACTCCCTAAAACGTCGATCCTCTTCAAACAGGCCGCAGTCTGGCCTCTCGTGTCGTTGATGCCTTTTTTTCGCAGTTTATTTGCAAACAATCCAAACGCGGTGGAAATCTTGACTTGTCCTTGTTTGCCAGCCGCCCTGTGAGTACGACCAGGGGTGTTACGATCACGAGCTAAGTGATCGCTATAAATTATACCAAAGTTTGTTCCGGGTTTCAAGTGGAGGCCGATATGAATAAACGAATCAGAGGATGTCTGTGGCACGCTTGTGTTTTGGCGAATTTAATTTTCATGCGGAGTCGTGGAGCTAATTTAAGAGTGTTCCCATCTGCTTGTCCCGGAGAACCACTGAAAATGTGGACTTGCGAGAGGCGTCTTTCCTTCCTTGCCCGAAGAACGAAGATGAGACGTGATAAAAAGTAAGCCAAGTGTATTATCTCCCCTGCTGTTCGCTTCCACCAAAAGGCGCTGCCGTGGCAGACTGCGACAACTATTTCACGATCCTCCCGTCAATCGGCAAATCAGACAAATTTTGTTCAAACAAAATGACGAGTGCGGGTCACTCCCGAAAGAGTTCAATCGATTCCGGGTGGTGAGACTTCAAGGAAGCGGTCAGCTTACGGTGACTCCGCGATCGAGGAATAAACTCTTCGTTAGTTCACAATGCTTTCACTCCAACGAGTCTCACCGACGAGCAAGTCATCACGGACTCGTACACGATCGTTTGGGGATGGCGCAACTCCGTGGCGTGCAGATGTGCCTGATCGAGGTTTGTTCTTTAATGAGCGGTACACTGAATGGCGCTCATGTCGGATTCATCGCTCGGCGTTCTTAACCCCAACTCTCCTCTTCTCCACAGAGGTGTCGATGCGTACATGAACGCACATTTTCGGTCACTACTCTGCAGTTGTTGAATATTAATCAATGTAATGCCCCCCTTTTTATACAAAATTGATTATGGTAAGGCGCGGAAATCATCCACAGCTCTGCAGAGTTAATGGAAGCATTGTTGGCTTTTTGCAAAATTAATGTATTTATCTGTCACAAAGACGATTAATAGCCGACAGGTTGACGCCCCCTTCGAATCTGAAATAATTCTAGCTATTTAGTTCACGAAGAGATTCTTTCCAACGAATGAGTTTAAATTTTACTCAAGGCGTTTACAAACAACCCAATTATTTTTTTTTTCGTTCCAGAAATGTCAGCTTTACAAAAATCACATCACTCAAGCAAAGTGCCCATTTTCCGACGATAAACACAGGGGCGGAAGCCAGTCTTAGGCGTACCACAACTATAATACTTTTTCGTTGAAGATAATAGGGTACTCTCTAAGTGGCAAGATGTGTCACAGTCCAGCGGACCTCGACAACCGGCTGTCATGATTTTATTAGACAAAGAGAAAAAAATTCAGGCCAAGTGCTGACGAAAGAAGCCGTATACTACAGCTCTAAACGTTAGACCAAAACACCGCAAGGCGGCATCCTGACGACGAAGACTCCTCTGGCAGGTGCCCATGAGGGCGCCCTTGATTTTAATAGAACAAAATTGTGTTCGTGGAACAGATGTATAGACATTTTCGTAAATACACTGCTCAGCCCCTGCACAAACAGTCAGCAAAATAAATAAAATAAAGTCCAAATAATCTTTTTTTCGTCAATCGTACAAGGACAGAGTACGAAAACAGAGAAGTAATATAGGCCTAATGTTATACTTCTGTTTGGCATTGAAGCATTTTTTTCGTGATTAGCGTAACGTCAATTCCCAATGCACGTATCAAACAGTCGAGTGAACATTATCCTGTGAATGAAAGCAAATACGGACTCGACGTTTACGGCAAAAATAGCCTGTGATGGTGACACAATAAAACAATAAAGGCTAAAGGCATGCAAGGGTGGATTCAAAACCTTTGGGGGGTGGACATTTTTCCAGGGGGCACAAAAATGGAAATTTGGTTACGTAACCTTTAAGGCCTTTGTGGAGGGCGAGGCTATTTTTCGGGGGGGGGGTTATACGCTTTTAAAAGGAATGGAACGAATTGGATTCAAAAAGTCACCATTCTTCCACATTTGTTTTGTTCAATTCTATCATCTATCATGTAAACCAACTCCAGATTTATTATTTTTCAACCAAAATAAAAGGGTTTTTTTAGGGGGTCATTTTTGTGGGCGGTTGCAGAGTGGGGGATTTACCCTCGTTGGCTTCTACAACAAGGGTACCACGCGATAGGGGCCCTGAAGTTCAGATAATTGTTTCAATTTCAGCAACACTCCAACATGAGAACTTTTTTTTCGTCTGAAAATAATGAGAGAGTCTGATAAGCCAGTTTCACGAATTTCCTCAGCATCAGGTCCTCAGACATTCCAAGCATCTCAACAAATTCGAGCGTCTTTTAAGCCAACCCCTCCCGATAAAAGGGGAATTCACTGCTGCGCTGTAATCGAGGGAAAAAATTAAAGTATAGAGCAGACACTCCGTTTGACATGTTCGCACATCAGTGAAATTGCTGCGCACGGTAAAGAAGCGGTTTGGGACTAGTCCCGTGTCCGACTGCGGTAGTTCTAGGCGAAAAGGTTAATTAAAACAAATCAGTTGAGTTCTTCATTAAATAAACCAGACATGTGCTCAAAGACGCCACTCAACTGAAAGGTTAGATTGTCTTCTGGGAAATAAGCCCCTTTGTATAAATAGGCTATAACCGTCCGTCAATCTAAAGGATTTCAAATTAAATGGGACGCAGTGAGACAGTTGCAAAGTTTTTTTCTGCAGTAAAAGTAGTACGAGGATAGGCCTGCCGTGATTTCATTAATCTTGTTGAAAAGAAATCGGCGTCTTCTAATTAGAGATCTTGTCTTTTCAGAATGTTGACCAATTCAACTTCAGCGACTGGCCTACCCAGTGGTCATCTTGCCAGCCAGCCATAGCCAACTAGCTAGCCAATACAGTCGCCAGTGAGACGTCCCTGTCCATAAGCTCTTACAGATACCAAGCCACCACTCTCCCCCGTCCAAGGTTCTACTCGTTAAGGCAACATGGAAGTGGGGCAGTAGCCAATCTGTTGGCCGTTCAGTCGGCCATTAACCAATCATAGAGGGGACGGAGCCAGCCAGCTAGCCACCGATCAGTCTGCCATTCGTAAAGTGCCTGGCCGCCAATAGGTCAACCAAGACCAGGTAAGGAAGACAATCCCTATCAAACCATCATCTAACCCCACCCATAGTAACTACCTTGTAATCCACCCATGCAACCAGGGATAATCAACAAAAACAACCACTCACACAATCTGAAAATTACTGTCTGACCAACGAACAGTCCGGCCATCCCGGGACAAGTCGAGCAACAACTACAACGTACATGTATCTGCCAACCACTGCAGTGGTCAATTTTGCCTGGCATCCACAGTACATTTTGTGCACCGATTACCAGAGGAAATCGACCAGTGGTCGACAATAATGACAAATAATGGTCGTCGCTCGAACTTGTTCCAGTAGCCGGCTCACAGCGGCACCATGTCGCACAACGGTCAAATTCGCCCGAGTCGCCTCCGCGGAAAGTGCACTTTGCCAAGACCCAAATCATCAACCAAGCACAAGTCCGCCGTCTTCATTTCCTCCAAGTAATGGGACCTTTTCCCACCGTCTTTTAATGTTAGCCGGTGGGCCCGGGGGGCAAACCGTCAAATAATGCATCACCACCCCGACGGGCCGAAAAGGATGTTCTCGAAATAATACATTATTAAAACTCCCCCCCCCCAAATAATTGATTACAAAATGTCATATGCCCAGACCTTTTAATTTTATACTGAGGACTAGGGCATACTTTCGGCTGATGAAGAAAACGAGAAGTACCTCAAGGTGTCAAATCAGTAGATGATTGCAAAGTGCATACGGGGCTGACATGCATTTAATACATGCTCATCACGTACATTCGGAAAACACCACAAAGGGATTATCTTCAAATGATTGCCACTATCATGGCGCGCATGCTTGAGATGTTCCCCGATAAAAACATGGTAAAAATGGTCACTAAACAAAGCATGTAACGTTTCAGACAAGCAGGAAGTCGACGACAGCGCCCAAGAAGACAACAACAAACACAGCGGGTCCACGGGCGGAAATTACGTTGATTTGGTGTTTGATTTGCGCGGGAACTGTTTGGGCGGGAACTCATCGGTCTTCTTTCTTTGCTCTAAGTTTTTATTGCGCGAGTCCCAGGCCCGCAGTACGTCAATCGATCATTTAGAAACAAGATGATGGGGTCTACAATGTGAAGTGGGAAAGCTAATTGTTCAGATCATTTAATAAGGTCCAGTCGGTGGTTGTTTTTCAAACTAGCTGAAACGACCAGAGTGGTCAGATACAGAGATCTTTCCTGCGAGGACGAAGATAATTGTCAAACTCAAAGCGACCACAGGCGGACTTTGCTCAGCGCAGACAATGGTTCAGTTAATAATCGGTAGTTGGTGGCGCTCATCGAAACCAGCGTGACAACTACAGACACATACGTATATGTCTGCGGTGACAACCGTTCCCTTGCATTTGCACTGTCAACGACTAAACAGTTGGAGGCCATGGCCCGCCCACAACTGTTCCTAACCTTAATCCATCCCTGACGGGAACATGTAGCATGTAGTAGAGATCCCAATGAAAACAATCCCAAGGAATTTGAAACACACAATTCGTTAAAGAAAATCATTTTCCTACTTTCAATCGGTCGATTTATTGCCAAAAATACATTTCCTTTCTAAAAACAGGAGTTGGGTTCAATTTAAACTGAACATTAAATTAAAATGGAAGATTCAGGACCGTCAGATTTTAAATTAAGTTCTTCGAACATATTCTTGATATGTAGGTAAGAGTGGTGACATTAGCAGATGGGGGGAAGGACTTTGATCAAACCTTGGAGGAGCTTAATATAAAAAGTTTTCAAAAAATAAAATACTTAAAAATAATCGCCACTAAAAGATACCTGTCACAATTAAACACTCTCTGCAAACTATGATTCTGAGAAAAATAATGATTCGGAGAAAACACTACCCTGATTTGGGTAAAAATAAAGTAGGCATAGCTCTCTTCAGCAAAAACTTTTACCTCAACGACAAGCAAAAGACCAGAACAAAAACGTAGGCCAAACATGTTACATCTGCCCACAATGTGGCAGACAGTGCAAGGGAAACCTAATTTCTAATAGTAGAGTAAATGCCAACCTGGTTCAATCTGGTAATTTACTAAATCACAAATCGTAATGAAAATGCCCAACCTGTGCTTTATTAATTATACAACTTTTTTCCTGTTTACAGTAAGGAGTGTAGTTTGGTAAATAAACAGACATGGCTCTACCCCCCCCACGTGTGAATGAACAAACTAGTAAACTTTGGCATGTGACCTTCTTAATTTCATCAAGATAGGGCACCATGAGTGAATTTCCTCTCTAAAAAGTCTCAACGAAAATGATTCCACACAGAGTATGTTACAAAATATGCAGTTGGAACAAAGGCAGACTGAAACAATATGGCCTTCGAACTTTGCACTTATCAAACTTACAAAATTGGCACGGTTGATATGAAATTGCAATATTGCTTAGTATCGGTTAGGCACATATGTACAAAAGATTAATTTCTAGTTCAGAGATTAGTTTCTCTCTGAATCTGGATAAAGTTCCATGTTTTATTTCAGCCTTGTCAATGGCATTTAATTATTTCTTAATATAGACACATGATTACCAATTTCACTAGATAAATGGTAGAGACCTCTCAGACCCATGTCACGAGCGAATAATTCTGAGTCAATGAATCAAAGCAGATTATAAACCTGTGATAACAAGAATGATCAAAGGTGAAATCTTTTAGGAGCTTTTTCTCTTTGAAGTGCACATCAATTGACTGAAATTCATAAATACATGTACCTAAGACACTTTAGCCATTCCTATTAATTGAGAGCTCATCATGTGGCTGGTCTTTAAAAAATTAAAGCATTAGTTGGCTGGGCCACCTCATGCAATACGCGCCACGCACCCCTGTCTTTTCTAAAAAACGAGATTGTTACTCACGAGAAAAACATACAAAAAGCATAGTTAAAGGGGTGTTTGAAAAAAGTAAGTAAAATTTGCTAAAAATCACTGAAAATTAATAACTAGGCTGCTAATAATCCTTGCCCTTGGATAAGGCACTATCAGTGTCCATTCTGACCGATCAGGTACAAATTTATTCATTTATTGAAGAACGAATGGACAATGAAACAACTTTCTGAAAATTGCGAACAAGACCAGAATCTTTTAGCTGTTTAAAGTGGAAGATTTCAAGTTCTTTCAAAAGTTTGGAATGCCAAGCTCTAAGTAAATGTCAGATAAATCAACAGTACTGTACACATTTGAAAAAAAATCTAACATTTGGCTTAATCTTTAAAAACAAATCATGAGTTTTTGTCGATAAATACAGTTGAACCTCGTTAATAAGAACACTGTTAACACAAGGCTCTGCTTTTTACAAGGAAATTTTTAGGTCCCAATCCTTTGTGTTTCATTGTTTTCATTCTTGATAATACAAGGTTCCTGTTATGACAAGGTCATCTGCCAAGTCTAAGGGATCTCTTATTAATGAGGTTTGACTGTAATTTAAATAGTGTCTTCACAGTCACTCACTTTCACCTGCAGATGGAACTCAAACTTCTTGTTATTCCTCATTTGTTTCTTTGGAACAGACTGATGCATTGTCCAAGGGCTGAAAGACAAGAACGCAAATTTGGAAAAGTAATCAGTCATGGGGAACAGAGAAATTGCAAATTCGTCCACTGTCATTCCATCAGTTACATGTATGTTCACGTCCATCAGTCACGAAAAAATCACCTAATCTTGTGGAAACTGACTCAAAATGAGGAACATCTGGTAACTGTGTACTCCATTACTGTAGCAATGCAGTCAAAATGAAACGGAAACCCTGTTCAATAGACAGATTCTATGCAACTTGACTGCCTTCCTCTGGTGCAAAGGTGCTATCACAATTGGGCACATTCTATTAAAAAAATGTCCTTCGTTTATACAAACCAGTGCACCCCCAACGTGTGCCAAAACTCATCCCTCACAACTAAAGCACACTGCAATATGTACATTACAGTGAGCAGGGATGGGATTGACCAGTGATAAAAATAGCTGAAAACAGCTGAAAAAAAGGCATAAAGAAGCTGAACTGTGAAAATCTCCTATACTTTTGTACCCAGCCAGTGAGGAAAAATAGCTGAAATCCAAAACAAAAAAGAACAAAAAAGCTCAATCAGCTTAATAGCTGAGAAATCTCACCCCCGAATGAGAAGTGTTTTATTGCAAATGGCAGCTTGAAATGAACACACATGCATATTAAATACCTACGAGGTGAAAACACAATGTACTGAAACAAAACTATAAACAATGTATTTCTGACACTGAAAATATATACACCTGTAAAGAAAAATATCAGCATAAATATCAGGCCACTGTAAATTTACCGATGCAGTGCTCTTCAATACATTCACAGCTGGGAGTGAGAGCCTTCAAATGTACTATAGGTTTAACACATGGCCCATTTAATTTTGTTTTCAACGAATGATCCTTCACACGAGCATTCAATAACCAAAAGCAGGCATTCGATTTCGTGATTGAGCATTCTCCAGGGAAATAAATCCATTCAAATTCAAAGGTCATTTTCATCATTTTACATTCGTCAAAGGGCTTCAAAAGAGGTTGATCAGGCATTTGATTTAGTCAATAAGCAATCTTGTTTCACTGTATGAATTTAAATTTAATCCAGTAATAAGGGTTTTCAGGCTATATAAAATCTGATTTCCTAGGAAAAAAGGTTTAACGGTGGATCATGAGTTTTGGTCAATGTGACTTTATACCAAAATGTCGCTGGCCGGGTTCTAACAAAAAAACTGAGGTTCGTAGAAAGGGAAAGCTTTCCAGAGGAATAACGCAGAGAAAGGCCTGTTAACAAATTTTTCCCCCCCCCTTTTTTTCCCCTTTTTGTGTTTTAAGGTCAATCCTGGATTTTTCCCCTGAGCTTTTGTTATCTTGATTTGTACATTTTGAAATGGTCCCAATAATCGGATAGGAAACACAAAAGATCTGCATCAGTGCACACAAAAAAGAGCAAAATAAAACCTTTCTGATTTGACTCAAGAAAATAGGCAAAGTGTACAAACGCAAAATAAAGGGCATGAGGGAATCATTCCCAATGATTAGGGACCAAGGGTATCGTACACAACTGCTTGCAACAGAAGACCAGCGGCATTTCACTTCTCCAATAGGCCTACTCCTAAATGGAACACTCAGAATGCGAAATAGATTTACTGCAAACAAAAAAGAAAATCACGCACAGGTTTTGCTGGAATTGGCCGGGAAAAACCTATATGAACACATGTAATTGCTTATATTCTAACAAGCTTTTCAAACCTGAGAAAATGCACTGAGTCATTCCAAGGCCATAACATTTCACTCCCATTCCTTTTCAAAAGCATTCCGGTATTAGCAGAAAAATGTGACTAATTTGAAACTTATTGGCAGGACTGTAATACATGGAAGAAAAAAACTTGTCCGTCAGAAAATGGCAGAACGAGCAAGTTCTTTCTCAAATAAATTGCACACTAGGATCATGAAACTGGTCAGAGTAGTCATCTAATTAAAGAAAGGTACATCACAGTATAATCCAGGGATCTCAAGTTACAGTTTATTGGAATAGCTTGTGATCTGATTTGACGGGACTGAATGATCTGCAACTGGCTTGGGATTACTTGTGATCGCTGCGAGAAGTCCCAGGCATTGTTAGGACTTGGAGGTCTAACAGTGACTTTGAGGACTGTGAGAACTTTTGGGACTTTGAGGAATTGAGAGGACTTTATGGACTTGTGATGACTTTCAGAACGAAGTAGACTTTGGGACTTTGAGGAATTGTGATGACTCAGAGAAATGTGAGGACTTTAGGGACTTGTGAGGAGTTTCATAACTGTGCAGACTTTGGGACTTTGAGGATTTGTGATGACTCAGAAAAATATGAGGGCTTTAGGGACTTGTGAAAAATTCAAAGACTTGATTAACACTCTTGAGTCTGATGGAATGTACTAACAGTGTTCAATGTAAGTCACCTTAACAAGCAGCTTCTGTGGGATATTGTCACCTGCTTCAAATGCACTTTAGATATTCTTTCTAATTAGGTGAGGCTCACAATTGGTGACTTCTAGATTTTCAACCATGGCTTGTCCTTGTATGCTGCAGTTTGCAATGAAAAAGAGGAAATGTCTGAAGAAGTATGATGGTGAACAACTTATCGGCCATGGCATGAAATGAATTAGACTGTGATTGATGATGATGGATGATTATATTCACTGTGAATGCTTACATTGTCCCTCAAACTAGTATCTAACTTGAGACTTCCCTCAACAAGCTCTGTGTCTCGCCCTACGGAACAGGAAGTGACAAAAAAACCAAGCCTCATGACTTCTTGTTTTTAAATAAATCAACAGGGAACATTTCCAGTTTACAGGGCCAAGGATACTGACAATGAAAACCGAATGTCAGTCATGTGGATTGCAACAGGTTGACAGGCCAGTGCTAATGAAAGCACTCTTACTAGGGTCCTACACCTGTAAAGTCCAAGTTTCACGAGGACTGTCATTTCAGGCAGCTTTGTTTTTCAACCTTCCCACCAGACAACCTCAGGAGTACATCACGAAAGCCTAATGCTTTCATGCTTGTACATCATTACAACAGATATACCCGGACACTGCAAACATTGCTACAGGGGTCATTCCATGAGGTTGGGGCATAATTTCTGACACTGTCCATTGTTACGTGGGTTCTGTAAAAATGAACAGCTATTTCCCTGCATGTGGATTCGAAATTGACATTGTTATACATCTTGCAAGGCTGAATACAGAGGTGTGTGTTATTTTTACAGAGTAAATGACCTACTCTACAGGCCATGACAGCTGGTAAAAGTTACCCATGTCACAAGGACACCATCACAAATTGTGCCCCCAACCTTATGGAATGACCCACAAACAAAATGTACCAAGACAAACCTCAAACCTTGAATCTGTGACCAGGTCCTTAAAAAGCGTAAGAGAATGTGAAGTAGACGACAATGAACTTACTTCATAATCCACATTGACTTCGGCGTCAGGCTTCACGGTGAGATATTTCTTCTTTTTGTAGTACTCGTGTCCTTTCATGATGTAACACACAATGATGTCACAGGCAACTGTGGACTATACAAAGAATGGAGGTACCACGTTTGATTTACATTTACAAAGAAATGGAATGCACTCCACATTGTTTTCTTCCAGAAGAAAAATCTAGCTGGGTATTCATTATTCAATCATTAGCTTATTTCATTCTTATCACGGCCAACAAGCTAAATTACAAGAATGTTACATATTCTAATTAAAATACATGTAAAATATATTAAAAGTACATGAAAAAATAGCAAGCACAAAAACATTAATCACTAATCATGATTTCTAAAAGTAATGAACAATTAAAGGAATAAAATAGATCAAACCTACTTCAGCAGGTTGAACTACATGTATGTTTCATTTCTCTGTCGTGGAATGAATTCCGTAAGCCACAAGAAGGCCTGCGCGGATTCTCTAATTATGGAGTCACTAAATAATATAAAATGCAACTTGCCACAGACAGCAAAACACCCATCTCCCATTTTCCTCACCCCTATCTCAGCTATCTACTAGTCAGTGAAGACCCCCACCCTTCCACCTTTCTACCTTTACCCTCACTACCTACCATTGTCAGCAGAGCCAAGCCCGTTCCAATATTCAGCATCAGAGGCACAAAGTCAAACTTGCCTGCCGTTCCAGTCACAATAACTTCAAACAAGATCCCATAGGCTTTGAACAACGTACGCGTGTCTATGCCTGTCTCATTCTGGTAATAATTGGAAAACCTGGAATAGACAAAAGTTCACAAGCACTCAGAACTTTCTTCTGCAAGTCCACTGATTTGTTCAGAACTCAATGCCTTTGGCAAAACTACTTTGCATCTCTACAAAGGTGGCAGATCTCAATAAACACCAAGATACCGTCTGGGCATCAAAAGTTTATTTCACAAGGACTCCGTAATCTTTCTGTGGACCAGCTTTGATATTACATCAAACAAAAACACACCCATTACAATTTACCTGTTCATTATTTCAGTCTATGAAAGTCATCCTGTGTATTACATCAGCAGATTTTCACCATTTCACCAAACTTTTCTTTAAAATCAGTATCGTCCTTGGCTGCTATGCGCAGCATGTCAGATCAGAAAAACCCTATCAACACTACAGGCGATTTTCCTCCAGTTCCTCTAACCACTATCCTGTCTTTTATTGGCAAGTGGCTTTCCCTTGCTCTCTGCACTCTCCACTTCACATCTAGATCCTCACGGACCCGTATCTGAAGGGCTACCCCTTTGCCACATTCCCCTCACTGTTGTCGATCCTGGGGGAGAGGGGCATTCTTTTACTATTCTGTGCCCTCTACCAAACCCGAAAACCTTTAAAAAGGGTAAGCATCCGCCATTCTGTGCCATCCACGACATCTCTTGAACTTTGAAATCACTGGCATTCTTTGCCATTCTGTGCCTAGTACCACACTCCAAAAACCTGAAGGATGGTGGAATTATGCTGTTATTTTTGTGCGTTTTACCATATCCCTTGAACCTCAATAGCAGCATTCTTCTCTCACTCTGTACCAGCCATCACACCCATACAACCTCAAAGATGGTGGTATTCTTCTGCCATCCCATGTCCTCCATCACACCCATACAACCTCAAAGATGGTGGCATTCTTCTGCCATCCCATGTCCTCCATCACACCCCTACAACCTCAAA